AATGTTGGTTTTAGTTGTTTAAAATCATCCATTGAGTTCATCAAGTGCAGGTAAAATGGTGCATTTCACAGTCTTGTAGTTTTCATACTGTGAGAATCTAGTAGCAGCCCCTGCCTAGCCTAAAATAAGTGCAGGACTATCACTATAAACACTACCTATATGTATGCATGAGCCTCCACCTACTGTACCACCTGGCAGGCCAGAGGTTGCTGCAGATGATGGTGAGGGGAATTAAAAAGGTAACTGCATTATGTCCTGCTCAGGTTTTAAAGTTACTAATGCTTAAACCAGATCATGCATTTTGTTTGATGTGAGCAATTGGCATTCATTCATCTACCTTAGAAAAGGGGCAGAACCGTTAGTATTATTTTAGTGCATAGAGGTCCGAGCCCCATCAGCAGCTTAGGTTAGGCTTAGAAAAACCTGTTATTGTTAATCAGACATCATTCAGGCATGTTTGCAATATTACTTCAGTTAGAATTGAATACTTCTATGTGATATGTGTGCTACACTGGTACCAAAAGATCTGATAGCCTCTTGAAATTGGCTCTAAATACTCTGGGATTAACATTCTTTAATCTACCTTCTCCTTACCTTTTCTTCTGGGCTTGAAATGTTCACATCTGATCTAGAGGTAAAATTAAGACTTCATCATTTGGAAACTGCCTTCATTGCAAACTTTTAATAAACTATCCCAGGAAGAAATGAGTGGCCATTCTCCTCACAATCATATTCAATCACTAACACCTAAAATCAGCTCTATTTAAATGTTTATGAATATTAAACGTGTTCAAGGACCAAGAAGAACACAAAATTGGTCCAGAAATGTCCTGATATCTGTTCTTATTTATTTTAAATTTTAACAATGAAAGAACTTTAACATAAAAGCGGTCTATTTGATAATATAGCAATCCTTCAAAAATCTCAGCTCCAAAGCTAGCATTAGTAAAAGGCTCAGATGCTTTTTGCATGTTGATTAGTAAACATGGCTTTATAAAAGCAGCTGTACTGGTATAAGAATAAAAAAGCAAACACCAAAATGTGTTTCCTTTATTTTTCCTTAAGCTTATCTTGGAATTTGTTTCTATCCAGCTCATCCCTAAGCTTTAGGGCTTCTAATTATTATACATTTCTATCAGATTGTCAGTATTTTTAGTTTCCCTCTAACTTGTCTTCCTGGACTAAGCAGGTTGACACCATTTGCTGAGCTCTGACTCTTAGAAACTGAGGGTTTGTTTTCCAGCAAAGCCAGACTGTTCATGTTTGCGAATGTCAACATTTGTAAAAGCGGTTGTTGAGCCCCAGCAGACTGAGGGCCCCTGGAGGGATTAGATGAGGCTCTGTTTACCTGCTCTGAGGAATGCTGCCTTGCGCGGACGCTTTTGTATCTGACAGGGACCCAAGGTCACAGTGCCGGCAGAGATGGGCTGCTTTGTCCCCTCCCTGAAGTTTCCACCTCGCAATATCAACAGCACAACACAATGTGGGAGAGGAAAATGGAATTCCTGCTCATGTTGCAACAGTGCTCAGAAACTAAGGTTCACTGGCCCTTCTTGCCTTTAAAAACTCAATGATGGATGACTTTGTATCAGTTTTTCAATCTGTTTGGTTAAAACTTCCTAATCTACGTTTAAACGTCTAAACATTTCGGGTCTCCTACATATTTTGCTTCATTTCAATAGTAACTCAACTAAAATGTAGCAGTTAAGTCATTTTTAAGCACTTGTGTTTTTTTCCAACACTTACACTGCCCTGTTAAATAAACAAAGTATCTTAAGGATATGAAATTATATAAACAGTTTGTCTTGCTAATTTTAACAAGGGTAGCCAAAGTATGTTTTTCCCCTCTTAATGATAAGTTAGTATTATTCACTTACCGGTAGTCGGAAATTAAAAAATATAGGTTTTTGCATTTGATTGGCTAAGACAGACAAATGAAAAAAGTATGTGTTGAATTGTAAAGAAATGTAGTTATTCCACAAGAATTTGTAATACTTTATTGTATCCATCCACTCAGTTCCCTACCAGCATGATTACAATCTAACAGAAATGTTCAGTTTCTATTATGCTCTATTATGGCAGATGAGTGAACCCTGCAGAAGACAGTGAGGGGAGCTGAACCAAACAGAGAGCGCTAAAGATTGTCAAACTGTTTTGACCCCCATTAACTCACTCCCCCATCAGAAAAGAGCATAATCAAAAGCAGAAGCGGCAGTCTGCTACAAGTCTTGCAGGCCAGAACTATATATTGGCTGCTTTGTATTCTCGGTCTAACTCAGCATCTCCTCCTAGTGGAATATGCTTGTGGAACCTCTGCAGAAGGCATCCTTATCAGAAGTCACAACCATCTCAACTGATTATTTTTGAAGGGTATTTACTATACATAAAGCTCCACTATCTATAATGATGAGTTTACAGACCATTACAGAGAAAGATCTTTATATCTTCTCCTATTCAGGATTGTGTTCTTTTAAGGATTCCTACTTGATGGCCATGAGTGAAGATAAAAACATAGATGGAATAATACATTTGCTTTTTTCCCCCCTATGATTCCAGTTAGTTTTCAATTAGAAAACTTTAGGTCAGGGAATCTGTCTTTTCCTCAACCAGAGGAGTTTGAGGATGTCAGTGTCCTCTTTTGGTGATGCCAGGATGGATGAGGAGATTGACAGGTTAAGCATCTTTTCTGCAGCAAGGCAAGAATTGTTTAGGTTGGTCTTTGTACCGAAACAGGGAAAGAGTCAGACAGGGAAAAAAAAAACTAAATACATTTTAGTTGTCCTACTCTTCCGGCCCTCAGCTATAATCACCAGACATGGCTGGAATCAACCTTAGTAATGCTTTATGGTGTTTTTTTTTCTGCGCATCCTGAGAAGAATCAGAACCAATTTAAAGGTCTATATTTCCCTTCCAGCATAAGAACACTTTGAAATCCAATAGATTCCTCTCTTAACACTACACTTTACAGTACAGTTTCCTCATTGGGAATATAAAGGGGGTTTCTATTCTATTTTATTCTATTCTATTCTTACTTTGCAACCTGATCTTGGAAATGCAATAATTACAAATCCATATATCTACTGCTTGATCCTACCATCATTCGTGGAGAAGATGCTCAAGAACATAATTTGGGAGGAAGACAGATATTTCCTGATATTCAGTCCGCAGTCAGCAGTACCCCTGTTTCACCACAAGGTGTCACCCCTGCCCTGACCAATAACAGCGGGGCTGAATCAATTTAACAAAGATGCGCACTTAAAGCGCTCCATTAAGCGCCAAACATGCGCCATAAGTCTGTATGAACACAGCAGAGGATTACAGAGATTTATTCCGACTAAGTGAGGCGGTGATTTGGTGACTATATTTCTTACAGCCCGTGTTTGACCCTAAGCAGCCGACAGCGATGGTACAACAAACAGGTTCCTGTTTAATTTGTCTGCACGTTGGGGAGTTATTTGCAGAGGGCAGAGCTCGTTAAATTTGACATGGGCTCTCAACATTTCACAAGCATGCAAAAGGTAGTTCAAAGCGCAATATTCAGCTTTTTTTTTTTTTTTAGTTCTTGTGAGCGCTCTGTCAAATAGCGCAAAAATAACCCCAAACAGGCCATGATGATAAAAAAAAGGAGCATTAATAATGTTCATTATTGACACCCAGTTTGCTTATATAAAATATATAAAATGATATGAGAAATAAAGCAAAACAATCCTATCCTGCTGGGCTTTCCCCCACAGTAGAGCTCATTTAGACAAAGACAACTGCAAGTTTGAAGATTTTCTTTATCTCATTTTTGTAATAAACATATAAATAATAAACTCTAGACATTTTTTTGACACATCGCCCCGTTATGAAAGTTAACTGGTATGGTAGAGACTATCCAGACATGTGCATCTGCCGCAGGTCATTTTCTATTTATAGAAAACTATGTCCCTATTACAAAATATGAAAAGAAAAAAAAACATTTTAGTACATTTACAGGAGTTACTTATTAATTTATTTAACGAAGCTGTTTCAGTACTATCTTTACTGTTTCTTAATTGTCAAAATCTGCAGTTTATTTTTGACATTTTTTTTTCCTCAGGAGAAAACAGAGAAAGTAGAAACAAACTCACACACACACAAAATAAAAACAGAAATTGCAGACATGACATCAAAATAATAAAATAAAACAAATACCAGTACAAGATTTCCAATACTTTCCAAGCTACTGTATTTTTTTAAATTAAAATATATTCTCATATCTTACACTATTTCAAAAAAAAAGAAAGAAAAAAAAAACGAAATATGATTCGGCAGCAAATCTAATTTACATTTCTGTGTATAAAAATATAATTTATTGAACCCCGCGAAGTTTGTTCTGTACCCCCAAAATATAACAGTCAGTTGCACATGTATAGTGATCTTCTTCTCTGTCCATTTTTGTTTTATTTTATTTTCTTCTTTTTTTTCTTGTTTTTCTTCTTTTTTTTTTGCAGTTGAGATATACAAAAATAGATTATTCACAATTTGCTGCTCGCATCATTTCACAATCCATTTCTGTGACAGCAGCAGCAGAGTTCACATGAGAATAAATTATTCAAAGAGGATTTTTTCTTTTTTTTTAAGGCTCCATTCATTCTTTGAAAGGGGACGCATCATTGAAAAGTCACTGAAATAAATATTCCAACTCCACTGGGGCCTTTTTTTTTCGTTTATTTTGATTTTATTATTATTTAATATGTCATTCTACTGGATAGATCGAATGTACTCGAGTCTTATTCTGTTCCTGTGGGTTTTTTCAGCTTGGATATGCTGACATCCCCAGTGGATGCATCGAGTGGTCGTCTAAGATCCACGTCCCCAGTTGGTAAAGGAGTTTGGAGTACCAGTGCACCCCTTCGCTGTGCGCGCTGACCTTAGGCCTGGAGCTGAACAGCGACGAGGACACCCAGTGGGCGATCCTGACCGGCGCCAGGGCCCAGTGCGCCAGCTGATGGTCCTCGATCACCGCGTAACAGGACGCCAGGACCTGGTCCACCACCACGGTCCCGTGCGCCGTCACCGGTGCGAAGGAGCCCTCGTGCTGTTGGGTGTAAATCCGTTTCACGTTCACAGCCACGAGCCGATCCCGCTCCCCGTCGTGGACGAACACCTTCTGTCCGGGTGTCACGTCGCTCGCGAACACCGCAGACTGCGTGGAGTTCTCGTGCGCGACGAAGATGAGATGCGCGGCAGTGAGGGTGATCTTCTGGCCCGAATCTGTCTCGATTACGTAGAAGGTCCGGCTGGTGGCGGAGTCTCGGTCGATGAACATGATGAAGTCGGTGTAAACCGGGTTCCCATGGCCGTCCGCAGCTAGAACCTTATCGCCCATCTGCAGGTCTTTGACCGCCTTCTGGGTCCCATCCTGCAGGGTGACCGTGGAGGAGCCTGGGAAGCAGCCGCCTGACTTTGCTGCCACCGAGTTTTCTGATGGAGTGAAACTTCATGTTAGATTCATCAGTCATCTCTTTAACTATATATATATATATATATATATATATATATATATATATATATATATATA